CTTAAGCCTTCAAATATTTGCCAACAGATTGTGTCTTCTATGACACTGGTTCGGAGTGACACTGTAGGATTTCAAGTTACAGCATTACACCTTTTAAAGAAAAGTAACTGTAATTGCCACACAAGCTTTTAAGAATTTCTGTCATTTCTAACATTTTATGATAAAATCAAGCAGAAATATAATTACAAAGAAATAATCTCATTAACTTTGGAAGGGAGTAAAAAAAAAAAATAGAAGAAAATGTAATAAAGAGTAATGAAACATTTGAAGTCAGAAGAGTTATATTTAATGTCCACCTGTCCACAATGCACAAACGCACACACATCTTCCAGGCAACACATCACTATCAGAAAGTATCCTGAACCAGGTAAGCCATTTCACATGGAGCCTTTGTTTCCACTGCACCTTCCACAAAGGCACTCCAATCGCTCCAGCTGTCATGTCTCCATGGCTATTCAAATGCATGGAAACGAGGCAGCTGACATCTGATGTCTCAAAGCCACGTTGGGCAATGCTTACCAGCTTCCCTATATTGCAACTGCTACACTGATATTTAGCAACACATGGGAACCCAATACCCTTCAAATAAAGGGCATGAAGCAGAACTTGCAAATAACCAGCTTCATGAAATCATCACTGAGAAGCTCTGAGGCACATATTCTCCTGTATTTGAGGCACTGTACTACCTTGTCACTATAACCTTGCCTACTTTGTACAATTAGGATACATTTGGGTACTCCCATAAAACCTGACAAACTTATAGGCAATATCATTAAATACCCACACTGGCTTTAGCTACTTCTAAATACATTTCACTTTGCTGAAATATTGTATTAGCATGATTACCCAGAGTTACTGAAAATCAACTAGTTTGGATAATTTCTGGTAACACTTCTTTGTATTTGTATGGTATACCATTTTTAAGTAAAAGTGTAAGTAGCTCATCAGATAGTAATACTGCACCGGAGGCATTCTGGATTCACTTTGTGTTCTGACACATCTCTACCAGCATCTTCAGGGAAGGCTGGAAAAGAAAGTGACATCTTGAGTTGGCAAATCTCTCAAAATTTAGAAGACGGCAACAGCATTCCTTCTAGGATGGAAAAGTGTTCAGAGACCACAGTTTTGAGAAAATGCATTCAGACCAGTAACGATAAGAACACGGATTAAGAAAAACTGTTGGCTTCCTCCAAAGTATCTATAGTACATGAAAGAACTGCACTGGAAAACAAAACAAACAAACCAACACGACAACAAAACCAACAGACAGCAGCCTACTCTAAAGCATTCTAATTGGACAGCTGTCAAAAGCAGCACTAAGAGTTGCACTACTACAGCTAATCCCTTGCTTTTGGTCATTATATGTCTCAAAAAATAACTATTCTTGCGTAATTTATTTAAACCAGAAAACTTTTTCCACACACATTGCTTGTACAAAGCACTCTCCTGCTCTGTGTGCCTGCTAACTAACATCACCTGTACCTGCTTGTGTCCTCGAACCAGAAGAAATCATGAAGAGTAGCTGCCTGTTGTCTTCCCTCTAATCCACCTGCTTCGGCATCCGGTATTTTTGGAAGAGATACAGCAGCATAACCAGCATTTCCTAATCCCCCCTCTTACCAGTGTATTAGGGAGAAGTAAAGCCTACTTCAGCAAAGACGAGATTTGTACATAAAGATCCTGAAAATATTTGTTAACATAATGCTTTATTTATTCAGCTTGGCAAATGCTTTTATTTTAACCTCAAGTATCTTTAGTAAATGTCAGCGGTAAACACAAAGTCATTGCTGGCTAACAAGCCTCCTTATGTGGGTTTCTAATTAGTCTGTAACTAAGAAGAAGCTTTATGTTTGAAACAAGCATTCTATAGAGAGCTAAAGGAAATCAGATGATCACGTATTTCTTCATGGAGTGGCACACGTGTATGGGCACCAGACGCAGAGGAAAGGAGCTCCTGGGATCAGTGCACAACAACTCCTCCACGCTTTTATTCTAGAACGCACAGAAACATCTTGTTCTTGCAGTAGCACTGCAAACTTCAACACCTCTGCTGCAGCAAGTATTACGAGGCTGCATACGCTTTTTATGTGCAACTCCCTTCCCAGTAAGGATTTCTGTGTTTCAATGTGTATATAAACATAAAGCCACACATGTTCACACAAATGTTTTAAAAAATCGTAATCAGTTCACCGAATGGGCAAGAAAAACATGCAGTGTGCTAAATTAGAGCTTCATTTTCATGTCAGGAAACATCAATTAACTGAGTTCTGTACAGCTGAGTAGCTTAAGAACTTCTGCCAAGACCCTGAGCTATGACTTCTTTTAAGTCTAACAGCCAACCCTGCCAAAAGACCATAAAAATTGATTTTGTGTTTCCGGTCTCTCTATGCCAGCTGGAAAAAGTATAGATTTTTTTTTCCCCCTAGGTTTCTGACAAACAGAACCTTTCCTTATCTCACAACTTCCACGCTACTACGCAAACCAAAGCGGAACGTTTCGCAGGTTCTTACAGCTGATCCAAGTTATGATTAAGGTAGAAGAAAGTTTCAGATGTTACACCAAACACTGCCTTTTTAATCTGTTTTGAAAAGTCTCCAGGTCTGCCACCATCACAGGGAGCACTGCGCCCCACACTCGCAAGGCTGTGGCACACACTCAGCAAATGGTGACTTTCACATCTCTTCTGGGCACCGTCAGTCTATGAGCTACCTCTTTAAATTCCAGTATCAACCCTCAAAATGGATTTAGCATCTTTGGCATCAAACATTAATAAGGCTCACTTAGGCACTCTTAATGTGAAGGAAAATTGGGCTAGTATGAAATGGCTACACTGAAACGTTTCATGCTTTTGCAAGTGAGGGAGTATGATTATTTCCTACAGTATGTCATTATCTTCTGCCCTGTGGTTCTTTTTTTTTAAATTATCTCTTCTCACTCAAGCTGCCTACACTATGTTTTTAAGCTATGTAGTTTTCAATTTATGAATTGCATGCATGCAAATTTTGAGCAACTATAATATGGTCTATTACTGAGCTTCTGGTAAAGTATATTCCCCTCGGACACTGCTAATGGAACTGCAATTCCAGATGCTTGTAAGAAATATATATATATTTAATATATTATAGATTTGACTCTCAAGACATAAAATCAGGTCGTTTGTTTCCAAGAAATAAACAAGGAGCAAGAAAACACTATTTCAAATACACGTGGAATTGCCTCACACTTTTTCCAAGCAGGTTTATTTAAGCATGGCAGGACATGTCAGCTCGCATACTCACAGAGCAAATGACTTCTCTGCCCTCTTGCCCTCGTGCCCCAAAGCTCCCCCCTCCCAGGGCCATCCTTCAACTCTCACCCCACTCTGGATATCCACCAACGGGGACTCCTCCCCGAGCCACAACCATCATCTCATGTTCCTTAGGACAAAACAACTCTCCCAGAAAACGAAGCACAATGAAGCAGTTTAAACAACACGCAATAGATTAGCGCAGCAATCATACCACCTGCTTCGAGGATCAACACTGCCGGTGCTGATCCATAGTCTGGCTGTAGTCTACAACATGTACGTGCATATAGAACAACGCTGTTCTGAACAAAGGTCAGTTTGGTATTTCAGTGAGTGAAATACCATTGAATTACAGCGTTTTGCATTGCGTTTACAAGGTCATAAACACGGAAGTCCCTCTTTTTCACTTGCAAACGGCTGTTAAATAAGGGAAATAAGAGCTGACAACCCCCTGACAATCAAAAGAAATTATTTCTTTGGATGCCAACATCTGTCTCCACATTGCGGCCAAGTGCTTTCTGTGCTCATTTAGGACTCCACACGGAAAGCTTTTCAGTTACATTTACCTAGAGATTTCCCTCCACCACTTCCCATCTGACAGAAATCACTCAGCTGGGTCTGATGAATAATAGCAAAAGGCAGCTTGTATCAGAGATGATTGAATTACAGATTGTTGGAAGTGCCATAAAGCCTCATTCCAACGACTACATTTAATTTACTTACTATACTGACTACCAGGAACTGGCAGTCGGTTGATATCTTCATTTCACAAGACTTGAAACAAAAGAAATATTAACATTCCTCTCCACTTGCTGACTACTCTACCTAGAGGAGTTCGATAAGCCAAATTAACTTTTAAACAGAGCACGGATCCTGCACCCAGACCGCGGGAGCGCACAAGGCAGACCAGAAGATATGAGAAATCAAAGCCAGCGGTATGCATAAAGGAGGGAAATAGCATCCGAGAAACCAACATGAAATCGCACGGGGGAAAAAATAAATTAGCGTGACAGCTTAAGTAATGGAGGCGTTAAATAAATAAAAAATAAATAAGCGGGTGGCGAACGGTGATGGAGGGGGACGTCGGGCCGGGCGCTGTAGGTACACACGGCCGTGCCCCGGGCCGCGCCCCGGCGCCACCGGACAGGGCGCGGTGCTCCAGGCGAGGGCACGACGGCGGCAACGGCACCTCAGACTTGGCTCTGCCAACCTGACTCGGGCCGCGGGGCAGCGGGCGCTCGGCGGCGGACGGGGAAACGAGAGGATAGAGAGGAGAAGGGGGGGTGGGGGGGGGGGGGCGGGCGTGGGCGCCCCTTTGTGCGAGCCGCCCCCTCCCCCCGCGGGGAGCCCCCGCCCCCCGGCAGCGGAGCGGCCCCCGGGCGGCCGCCCCCGGAGCATGTGCCGCCGCCGCCGCCCCGCCCGCGCCGCGGCCCCCAGCTCGAGGCGCCGCCGCGCGGGCGGGCGGGCGGCCCCGGGGCGCTGCCTCCTTACCTGACAACCGGGGCGGGCGCCGCCGGCGCGTCCTTCAGCGCTCTGCCCGGGCCCCTCCCGGGGCGAGGCTGCGGAGCGGAGCGGGGTGCGCGGCGGACCGCCCCCGCGCGCGGCTCTGCCGCTCAGCTCTCCGCGCTCGGCGGACGCTAAGTTTCGGGGACGGCCGCCGGCGGGCAGGGCAGGGCGAGGCGAAGCGGGAGGGGAGGCGGAGGCGGCACGGGGGATGCGCGGCGCCGGGAGCGCCGCCACACTGCAGCGTCTCCAGGAATCCCTCCCGCGAGAGGCAGCCCATCACCCCCGGCCCGCCGCCCTCATTGGCTGCGGGGCGGGGAGACGGCCGCCGCCAGCCAATCGCCCCGCGCCCACCATGGGTGGAGCCGCCGCTCCGGCCTCGCCCATCCCGCGGCCGCGCGGTCCCCGACCGCCCCGTCGGGCGGGGCCGGCAGGGGGGAGTGCGGGGGGCTTCCCCGCTGCACGGCGGTCGTCCACGCCCTGGGTACGGCGAGCGGGGAGCTCAGGGGACAGGCGCGGGGCCGGCTCGCGGCTGGCTCGCGGCTGTCAGGGCGGTGGGGAGCTCGGTGCCCGGTGCCGTTGCCGAGCCCGGCGGTGCGCGGCCCTCCCGCTGCGGCGCGCCCGCCCCGCTGAGCCGTGGCAGTGGTCGGGGTGTGCGGCTCGCGGGGAGAGGACCGTGCGTGTGCGCAGGTAAGGGCACGGAGCGGTTAACTTCGCCGCCGCGATGCGGCTGCTGTGACCCGGAGCTTTGATTAACGCCGCTCTGCGAAATGTAACTGGGACGAATTCAATTAATGGAAGCACATTTCTTCAACTTTTAATTAGATCTATGCTATTTATCTAATGTTTAATATAACACGAAGAGCTGCCTGGGCTCTGAAGGGAAATGGAAAGAGATGTGGATGCAAGTTCAGCTTTCAAAAACACGACAGGGTAAAGTTCTTTGTTCTTCAGTGTGTTTCACTGCTGGATCCATTCCTCAAAGTAATGGGAAAGAAGCGTTATTTTATTGGCAAAACTGTAAAAATAATAGGGTAATGTTTATGGGAGGGTTTCCCATAACCTTGAGCTAGTTGTAGGATACCAAGTAAACACGCAGTTCCAGCCCAGCCTCAATGCATAGCAGGCTGCTGAGTTACAGCTGTTATAAGAAAACTTGAGTACATGGTAATGTATTCACAACCATGGAGTTATCTTCACTTAGTATGCACCACAGTGCCAGTTATCCAAATTATTCTTTAATATGATAAATAGCAAATCTTGGCAAAGAGCCCCTTCTGCATGCTGCTGTTCGCAGGTTACAGAGAGTCAGGGAGGTCTCAGGCAAGTTTTGGGAATGGGCATTTACCTGCACTGTCAGCCAATCCCCAGTCCTGCCGTGGTGGTGGTATTTGCCTTCAGCTCAGCTCAAAGAAATATTTTCTGATCCCCTCAGTGCCCCGAGGTCTGTTAGTCATGTTATCAATCGTGAGGGAATGTTTTGTTGTGAGAGAGAAAGGGGAAAAGGAAAGTGAGTGTCATTTCTGCTGAGCTGTATAGAGGAGCCGTCACGGTGTAGATGCAAACGTAGACATGTGGTCACCTCCACCCACACCACCTTGTGCCATTTAAAAATAGGATTCCTCCTCTCCCCCATGCAGCAGGTCTCAAGGACTGTTGTAGGATCACATATCTAGTCAGTTAAAAAACCTGCACATCTCAATTCTGATAATCTCAGGGACTCAGTGCTGTATTTGTAATAGCAGTATGGCCAGACGTCTGCAGTGTTCTGAAGATTGGTGCCTTGTCTTTGGATTTGGGCAAAGGCAAAATACATTATCTAAACTCAGTGGCCTTTTCTTAGTCCATAGGTAGAAAAGAATAAGAATGCAATATAAAAGTAGCCCTAAAGAGTGTTTACCATCGCTTTCTTGCTCTCTGCTTGTGCCAGACCATATGCAATCTGCTACATGCAGACAGATATATATAGAGAGAGATAAAAGGATGCGTTTGGTAGGGGTCTGGTGGGTCGAGAGAAATAATGCACCTCCTCTCCGCTTCTGAGCTTAATAATTTGCAATGAGAAATCAGTGCCAGAGTTTCCTTCCTTCTCGCATCCACTTGCTTCATTTCCCTTTAGGCCCAGATGCTTCTTTATGCAAAGAGAAGTCTCCAGCCCTGTGAGCAAGTTCTGTTTAACCACTGCATCCTTGACAAAATGGGCAGTCACATCAAGTCCTGTCGTTAACAAAAGGCTGTGGCACTTGAGGGACAATGAACACATTCTGAATGGGTGAGGAAATTTTGGAAAAGCTAGGAGGCGTTTGATGAGTGATTGGAGTGCTAGTCAAGCACTACCACTCACAAAGTACAGATCATTGTACGTAAGTCACTCTGAAAGTAATTTCTCCTATTTATTTTTCAAACTGCAACAGACACAGAGAGAACGATAATACTATTTGATAGAGCAAATTCTCACCTACACACCTACACTATTTTTCAACACAGTCACCACTATTAGTTATGCATTTTTGTCAGCAAAGAACAGGAGCCTGCATGCTATGCTCATAAAAATCTGCACCAGCAGAGGTGACCCATTGTTTTGCAGTGGCTATGATGCTGCCATTGCTAGGAAAATGTTGCCCAAGCAGTCCAGCTTTCACCAGCCTGAATAGATGGAAGTTAGAAGGCAGTAAATCCAGACTCTGTGGTGGGTGTGGTGAGACAGTCCAGCCAAAATTGGCAACGTGCTCCGCAGTCTTCTAACTGGTATGAGGCCTGGCATTACCATGTTGCAAGAGAAAGGTTGTCTTTCTCTCTTGCCTGACTCTAGAAACTGAAGCCTTCAACTCAGACAGTGATGTAATTGATGGTTTGTCTGGGTTTCAGGAAAGCCAGAACGATCACCCCTTTCCCACCCCAAAAGACAGTGCACATCACTTTACACGCTGAGAACTGCATCTTGAACTTTTTTTCATGAGAAATTTCCATCATCACTCCATGGACTGCTGTTTTGACTCCACCTTGTACTGGTGACACTGTGTCTCATCACAAGTAATGGTGCAATCCAGGAAACTGCTTCAGCCTTGTGTTTCTTCAGTAGGTGCGTATGGTGTTCTTTCTGTTGCTGTTTGAACATTTGTGGGACCCACACAACGCAAGCTTAGCAATTATTCAGCATTATCACCATCGTTTCCAATGCATTGAAGCTCTGTACACAGTCCTTGGTATAATCTCCTGATTCACACAGATGAGCTGATTGAGACGCTTTGCATTGCTGTCTGGAACATGGCTTATATTTCATGTCACTGTCCACTGCTGAAACGCACCACCTGCCACCTCACTGTGCTCATGTCCTCTGTCGGGTCTCCAGAAGCATTCAGCAATTGTCAGTGAGGGTAAATGGCTGTCAGTTTTCCCACGTGGAGGAATTTGTATGCACTTCCATGTCAGATGGCACTTTGTCAGACTGCTCCTCTTCTGTCATCTGTCACGCAGCAACAAAATGCAATGGAATATTGGTGGGAAGGTTCAACCTCTCTGCCACGACACCAGCATCCACCAACATAATAAAATAGGACGTATTGCTTTCAGAGCAACCTTCATGGTGTACATACTGTTATTATTGTTGTGCTTTTCACAGCTGCATTCAGGAAATGTGTTCTGCCATGAGAAAAAAATAAGAAATATGCAAAACCAGACAAAATTATATTCCGAAACAAAGATATATTCTATTTTTTAATGTGCATGAAAACAGAATCTTATATAATCTCTACCATTTAGAAGTTCTATCAGGAATCCTGATAAATACAAACAAAGAAACTGACTGTGAATCATCCTTCATATTCCTTGTTTTTAATTTAGATTGACTGAGCCAGAGGTATGGGAGCATCTGGGAAGAATTAGAATAAAAATGCAAGAGCAAAAAGGATACAATGTTTGCCTTTGCAATTTTTATTTTCCATTCTCTGTATACTATGGCTTCAAGATAAAAGCTCGAGATTAGAAAGCAATATGAGCTGTAAAAACTAGGCTTTGAAAGTAAAAGACTCCCATTTGCTCTATAAACAAGAAAGAAGCCTGGGCCAAAGTCAATGAAATTGAAGTAATCTCAGGCCTATCCTGGCAAGTTTTATGGCATATAAAGAGCAGGTACTACAATGGCAGTCACTGAATGGAGGCAAATTCAGGAAGGACAGCACTAGCAGCATACCAAAAACAGCAGACAGGGCTCTGGCTTTGGGCCCAAGCTGCCATCAGTTTCCCTTTGTACATTAGCTGTTGTATGACCAAGTATCACCACTACCACAATCAGATGTATGAGCTGGGAAGTCAGGCAAATCAGGAGGGCAAATCAGCAGGAAGAGAATGAGTCAATGATATCGATGGCAGTTAATTTACTTATCAGACAGAATTTAGAACTGTAAACTAACAGGAATTGAGTCGTGTCATCATGATGAATTTATTCACCAACCTTGTGTTGTCCAAGATCTCAGGTACCTATTTTTAACTGACAGACATTTTTACTTTCTACATTATTGTCACATTATTTTCTTCCTATTTTTCCTTTGTTTTCACTTTTTCTAAAGATTTTCATTACAAGTCTAAAGACAAAGGAATTACCTTTTGCTTAGGGGAATGGGACAGCATTTAAACATGTTCCAATTGCACAGATGTCTGAAACTTCTCATCTTAGCAGATGAAACACCCACTCTTTATTATTTGTTTTCCAAGTTGACAGGCATCCAAGGACTGGCATGTACAGCTGAAGATTAAAAGCTTGGAATCCCACTTTAGGACACTGTCATCCGACAGAGTTCAGTGAAATTTCCACAGTATGTACTAGGTGATGCTAACATATTTAGAATGTACATTCTTAGTCAGGAAGCCAAGTCTGCATTAGGAGAATGTGAAACATGGAAGCAAAGTGAGAAATCCAAGTCCCAAAGGTGAGAATTAACCTTCAATACAACAAATAAATACTGGAGTAATAAAAGCACATGTCATGTGATATATATTTTGAAGATGATTTTTGGAGCAATGTGTGATATTATGAGTTGGATCTATGGAGAGAAAAGTGTTTCTTTGTTTTTTTGATTTTTTTTCTTTAATCCCAGCTGAAATTCAAAGAATAAAATCAAATCACTTGTTAGTCCACTGACAGATATTTGTATCAGTGTGTCATTTTGATTTTATTGTTTCCTTGTGTTTGATCTGTACACATCTGCTGCTGCTTCCTCTGAGTTGTTTCAGCCAGAGATGTTCTCTTTTAATCTGCATTTCTATAGCAGCTAGCACTGAGAGCTCCTGGTTTCTGCCCAGGGCTCCTGGACACTGCAGTGGTATAAATGAAAATGGAAATATTCTCTTACAAGAGAGTTCAAGGGCAGTCAAATCAACCTGCATATGTTTTGCAGAGATGTCAGCTGTGAATGCAAGGACAGATCTGAGTCAGTGTCAGTCTGTTCCCCTGTAGATGGTGCCCCTAGTTCAAGAATTCTGTTTTGGGTTGCCAACTACACTTCCGTAATCTTCCTCCTCAATTTGAAAATCACTTTTCTCCCAAGTGTTGCTCAGAGTGGTACTCCAGACAAACAGTATTTTCAGTGCAGGTAGGACGAAGGGGACTGAAGTCCTGGTTTCACCTTCAGGCACAATCTACTCTATAAAATGAAGAACAACTGAACCATGACTTCCAAAGTGCCTAGGCATTATTAATCTCCAATCTTACTCTATGGTGGTGAGCATTATGGCATCCCCAGCGTAAAAAGTTTTGTCACTGGTGACCATATGCATTATATGGATGACTGCATAATAAAAAGAATGGGAAGTGGGATTTCTAATTTAATTTTGAGGAGCTGACCTTCATAAATCACAAAAAAGGCTGTGTTTTCAGCCAGAAGATGTGGAGACTCAGGGGGGAACTTACTAATGTCTATGAATACCTGAATATAGGGTGCAAATAGGATGAAGCCAAGCTATCTTCAGTGGAGCCTGGTGCTAGGACAAGAGGCAATGGGCACAAACTGGAACACAGGAAGTTCCACCTAAATTTCGAGAAACACTTTATATATAACAGAGAAGTGGAATATGTTACCCAGAAGCATAGAGGAATCTTGGAGATCTTAGAGAACTTCAAAAGCTGCCTGGAAATGGGCCTGGGCACCTTGCTGTGGGTGCCCCTGCCTGAGCAGGAGTTATACCAAAGGGACCCAGAGGGCCCTGGCAACCTCAGCCATTCTGGCATTCTATGTGATGGCTGTCCGTGTTACACCTGAGACGTCAAGAAAGGTCTTTTCAAATTGTTATAATACACGTAAAAGACAACCATGCTATTCTGTGGTCTCCACTACAAAAGAATGATGTTGATTCAGTTTTGAAAGTCTCAGATGAGTTGCCAGTGCAAAATATATTTGTTATCACCACCCTGAGAAGAGAATAAGGGTGAAAATTCAAATTAGAAGATACCACTGAGATGTAGGTGAAATCCTATGGATTCCGGCTTCATGAACTTGATGTCTTTAATTTGAGATCTCCACAAGATCTATATCATGCAGAAGACACACAAGAAAGAATTACCAAAAGGCCAGCCCAGCCCTGAAGCATGACAAGGGTTACCATTCAGCTCTGCTGAATTTTCCAGGAACATTATGTGACGAAAAAAATAGGAGAGTTATTAGGGCACGAAGCTAGTCAACATATTTTAAATTTCAGAAAGTACATTATAATATCAGTACACTGATAAGTAAAATCTCAAAGTAGTTTGTTTGCATTTACTTCACACAGCCATTTCATTCAAAGGAACAGTGAAATTATCCTAGTATTTATAGTTTAAATCCTAAACCATAAAAATGTCAGTATTTTTTTTTACAGCAGTCTCCATTTCATAATATTTTCTGTCCTTTTTAAAAAATGTATTTATTTCCTTTATAGAAATGCAGTCTCTTCACAGTTCTGATGTTTTAACTACTCTTCAGCATAAAAGCTTGCAAAACACATGGATAAATGAACTGGAAATTATGTCTCATTAGTACAATTAGGAGAGAAGGATTTTTAATTTCAGTTTCTTTACACCTATGTTTTAGCCTAAAAGCAATAAAGTAGTTACCTCAAGCAATTCTGTTTGTCAGCACCATTTTGTTTGCAAACTAAAATGCTTGTTTTGTTTCCCACATTGCTTTTGTACGGTATGTGCCATAGCCTTCAAACCACAAGAACAGAAGGGAGTAGAGCTCTCTGAATGTAATTGTGTTGTTAAGATAAGGTCAGTGGTAATGTCACTTCTGCAAACCCTGATAGATTTTTATCCAAGTCAAACCTGAATTTTTAATCATTATAAAATGTTATTTTTTTTCCTAGAACTTTCTTGTTTTTTAAAAAACTTAAGCAAAATAAAAATAAATCCTACCCAGTGAACTTAATTCTCCTCACAGTTACACTTCTTAAAAGTCTTAAAAGTATAAATGCTTCTGTCTTAAAAGTATAAATGCTGTCTTGTATAAATCGAGCTATCTTAGAGACCTAAAGAAGTTAATGTAGCATGGAATAATTTTAATTCAAGTCCTGAGTTTAAATATGAAGCTTTAAGGGAACTGGCCTCAATAGCACACTGTGAATGTAGTTTCTTCCATACTGAGTAGTTCTTAGTCTGTGGCAGTACCATCTTCTCCTGGTGCTATAAATCCATGAAAGAGAATCCCCGATCACCCTCCTAGCTTTCTGCTTTTGACTTTCCTGGTTACCAGTCTTCTTAGTTTCCTTCTTTTCTGTTCTTCCCGTTCACCCAAGAAAATGTTTTGTGATAGCATTGCTAATCCAAAGTGTGAAATGATCTGGACAGTTCATCGGTCTCTTCACCCTTGACATTAAAACCTATTTCTGCAACAAATGGAATTGGCCCTTTTATCTTAACGATGAAGGTAAAACAGAATTATAACTGATGATGAAGTATGACAGCACATACCCTGCTGAGTAATGGGAACCTCACTGACCTGTTGTATTTTTCTAGTTCTTGTTTGTATGTGAACACAAGTACCTAGTCAGGTATTTTACTTAAGAGAGAGAAGAAAAAAAAGAATTTTAAAAGACTCGAAG